GTGGCTTGAATTTGGTTTTCAGTTTTTTTAGCTTGAGAAATGCTGAGTATGTTCTTTCTTTTTGATTTTCTAACTCCAGCCCTTTGCATACTTTATTGCAATACTTTGTCTTCTTGAGCCATCCTGTGAAATCTTCGGTTTGCTGTTCTTGCTTTAGCATTCTTTCCCCTTAGTTTGACTTCTTTTTATTTCAGTGCTAGCTTCAGAGTCTCACCTGACATTCACTTTGGTCTTTTCTTTCTTGCCTTTAATGATCTTTATCTTTCTCTGTGTATAATGTCCTCCCAACTGTTTTGGTATTCAGTCATTAATGTTGAATATATAAAATCTATTCTTGAGATTTTGAAAAAGAAATTCAGGTAAGACAAACTCAAGGTTGTATTTTGACTCTCCTGGACTTGTTTCATTTTATTCTGCTTCATTTTGAACTTGCACATGAGTACTTTCTGGTCTGTTCTAAAGTCAGCCCCAGGCTGTGTTGCTGCTGATACTGCTTCTCCACTGTCTCTTCTTACAGATGCAGTCAATCTCACTCTTGTGTATCTTATCTGTGAGGTGTATGTACATAACCACCATTTATGTTTTTTAGAAAAGGTATTTGCAATAAAGAAATCATTGGATGTACAAAATCTATAATGTAATCTCTGACTTCATCTTTGTTAATCTTGTTTTTGTTCAGTTATATTTGATAATCTAGTTATGCATTAGGACTCCTACATTAACCTCAGCTCTTTGTTTTATCATCTTTATAGTTTTAAGTTTTATACCTAGGTCTTTAATCCATCTTTTGTTAGTTTTTGTATATGATGTGAGATATGGAACTTGTTTCAATTTTGTACAAATATATATCCCATTTGCTAGCACCATTTGTTAAATTATCAAATATAACTAACAGTGTAGTCATCCAAAGATAAAGTAGGTGATTAGAACCTCTTAAAAATTAAATCCTTATGTGCATCTACAGAACTCTTCCAAAGTGTAGAAACAGAACTTACAGAGTGGAGAAACTTTTTGGCAGTGATATCTGACAAGATACTTATCTCAAAAATGTGTAGAAAATTCCAATATCTCAACAAGAAAAAGATAAACAACCTAATTACAAAAGGCGGAGAACAGGAACATATACTCATCAAAGAAGATATTCAAATGGCCAACAATAACCTGAAGAAATGCTCAAGAGCATTAATTATTAGAGATGCAGAGTAAAACAATAATGAGATACAATCTTAAGCTGGCAGCAATAGAAATGTTCAATAAGACAGCAAAAACAAATGCTGGTGAAGATGTGGAGAGACTGGAACTCTCATACACAGCTAGTGGGAATGTTAAAGGGTGCAATCACGATGGAAAGCAGTTTGGTGCTTCCTTAGAAAGTTGAGACAAGAAATACTCTTTGATCTAGAAATTCTATTACTAGATACATGTCCCAAAGACATAAGAACTTACAGAAACTGATATAAACATGCTATGTATATTGCTGCATCCTTTACAATAGCAAAGAACTGAAAACAATCCAAGTGTCCATTAACAAACAAATGACTAAAGAAACTATGGTACAGCTAGTGGGATATGATGCATCACTAAAAAATTACTAAGAATTTGTGAAATACTGCACAATATGGACAAACCTAGAGCAAGTTATGCTGAATGACACAAGTCAATCACAAAAGAGTAGCTATGGTTTAAGACCATTATTATAAAAATCTGAAGAAAAGTTAATGAATGAACAGAATCATTCTTAAATAGTTATCAGGAATGGAATGGGAGAGATAGGAAAGTAAACTTAATAAATAGATAAGCTGGGTAAAGGGATAGGTAATGTAAAGAAGGGGTTAGTTGTACATTGTAATTAATTCTAGTAATTAATGTTATAAAACAAAATGTCTATGAATTGGATGAAACGCCAACCTGATTTGTAAACTTTCCCTCAAATGAAAAAAATATCTACAAATAAAAAAGTAAAAAAATAGTTTTTCAGATAAAATAAAAATGTTTCAATAATATAGAAATATGCACCTCTGTTTATAACCACTAACAATTTGGACAAATTGTTTCACAATCTTGCCCTTCAGTTTTCATTTATAATAGTGGGAAATAATGAGTAGCACCTATTAATACGATTTTCATGAGGCACTAGAACAGGGACTAGCATGTGGGAAATGCTCAATAACTGTTAACTCCTTTTTTTCTTTTTTAAACCAATTAAAGGAAAATCCTGCTATGCCTTTAGTGCGTCTGCCTCAGCCAGATGGCCTAGACAGGATATATCCACATGAGAAAGAAATCGTTAACTGCAGAAATAAAAACCACAGAATAATGATGGTCCACAGTATGGTGTGCTATCTAGAGAAGGTAAGCCAATGTCCACAGCGGGAGGGAACAGATTCTTGAATTATACTACAAGAATAATTTTAATTCAGATTAATTTGAATTAAAGTTTAATTTATTTGACAGAAAATTATGTATTTACATAAAACCAAATTGTTTTAGTATGTTGTTGTTGTTGTCTACTGACTCATAACTGACCCTCTGGTGGGCTTTCAGAGGCAGTTAATTGCATAGGAGGAGATTGTTCATCCTTCTCCCATGGAGCAGCTGGTGGCCTTGAACTGCGTACCTTCAGAATTGCAGCACAGCTTTTTGCCACCAGGCCACCAGAGCTAATTGTTTTAGTATGTTGTTGTTGTTGTTACATGCCGTCGAGTCGCTTGCGACTCATAGCGACCCTATGTACAACAGCCCTAAAAAAAGGGGTTTGTGCGGGGAGAAGGGTGCAGCAATGAATGAATGGAATCCCAAAATCTCTGTAGACGTTCATTGAAATGAAAAATAAACAACCTAAATTTAAAAAAAAAACAAACAAAAAAAAACCCAGCCCAAGCCCCAAAACCTTTAGTTTCAATAAAAAAAAAATTAGTGTTCTAAAGAGTAGACTTCATTTAGTTAACATGAAAGAACTCCACTCATTGCAGTAGAGTCTATTGTTCAGAATGGCTTTCCAAGGCCCTTGCCTTTGACTTCCACATGGCTGGAAGGGAACATGCAAATAGGGTATGTTAGTCAACCCATGAAGGGATTGGTTCGTTTTGTCATTCAACTAGGTTTAAATTGAGCAGATTCAGCAGCAGAAATTTGGAAATCTTACTATCAGCAAGAAAGAAGCAGGGAATACAGCATGTGTCCTCTGGGATCAGAGATTCCTATGCCTGTCAGACTAGGGCCCACAAGGCATAAGCAGCAGCAGAAACTGAGAACTAGTAGCAGCAGCAGCTCTGTCTCTCCTAGCATGAGTCAGAGCTGACCTGGTATTGCTGCTCCACAGAACCAGAGCCAAGGGCCTTTTCCCACACTTTCTGGATGACTGAGGGGAAAGATGCCATAATTAGCAAGACTAAGAGAACTTTGCAACAATGGCCTAAAATTGCAAATCTGAAGGCTGAAGGGTCTTAGTATACCTGAGAAGCTGGCCTGACTGAGAAATAGTATCCTGTTGCCAACCCGGGTTGTAAACTGTTAACTCCCTAATAAACCCCATAATTGTGAGCATAGTTCTGTGAGGTCTGTATAGCTATTGTAACAAATTTCTGACCCTGTAGAACAGTATGATTGATGTTGGAATTAAGAGAATTAGGTGAGGGAGGGTGGGGAGCATGTATGACCTCATGGGAATTGTTTTTGTTATGAATGCTCTTGACTGGGGCAGTTTCCCCTTATAGAGTCAGCAGAGGTTAGATACGGCCATTCTCAAGCTGCCCTGCTTCTTCTTCTTTTTTTTTTTTTTACAAGTGTTGTAAAAAGTTGGAACCAAGTCATAGCTGATCCTCCAGTGAGTTTTCAACAGCAAGGTAGGAGAATGCCCATCTTTCTCACTCAGAGCAGCTAGAGAATTCAAGCCCTCTAGTTTGGGGTTTGCAAAACCAGAGGGGTTTTGGTTTTGTAACACCTTACTCTTCAGGCCAGCAGAGCTTCCTGACTCTAAACATAAAAAAGTAGACTTAATTTCCAGGGCAAAAGACTAATTGATGAATTTCCCAGGAAAATTACAGATGAGGAGCCCCAGTGGCAGCATGGCTAGACACCTGGGCTGATGATTCACAGCTTGGTGGCTCAGCACCATCGATGGTTCTGCATGAAAATAGACTTGATGATCTGTTCCTATACACGTTTCATAACCAAACTCATCAAGTTGATTTTCATTCAAAGTAATTATATAAGACAGAGTAGGAGATTTTCAAAGCTCTAAGTCTTTATAAATGTAGAGTGCCATATCATTTGGTGATCAGTTTGAACAACAGATCTTTCAGTAAGCATCTATATGGTTAGCCACTGTGCTACCATAAGGCCTTTTAGAAAGATTACAGCCTCAGAAACTGGAGCCGTTTCCCCCTGACATATAGGATTGCTACAAGTTGAACTCAGCTTGACAGCAATGACAGCTGATGTCAGGCAGGAACAGGTAGCAGCTCTTCTTCAATCACTGTGAGTGCCACTCGGAGCATCCGTTTGTTCATCCTTAAGTTGGTGTGAACAATAATAATTTTCTCCGAAGACAGGATTCTCAGATAATGTGTGTACGATGCTTCACTAGTTTCTAACATACAGTAAAGAGTTCACCCTATAATAACTTTTATAATTAACAAAATAGAACTTGGTATTTAACTAAACAAATACTTTATGATACTCCAAGGGGAAGTAGTCATGTTGCCACTATTCCTATATTTTAAAAAAATGAATGTGTGTAACAATGAAGGACCTTTTCTTTTGCTTTTCAAGGAGAGGAGTGAACTGGGGGTGGGGGTGGGGTGGGCAGGGAGAAAAGTGCAACAGTGAATGAATGGAATTCCAAAATCTCTGTAGATGTTCATTGAAAAGAATAAAAAATTAAAAAAAAATTTAAAAAAATCAATGTGTTTCCCTGAAAAGGATTAGAGAATTCTGAACCTTGAGAGTGAGGATTCTGAAGACAGAGACAGTATTGAGGTGACCTTGGGAGACTTTACCTGTGTGTGGGTCCAGGAGGCTTGACAGCTCTTCTTCTAGCAGCTGCTTCACAGACAGGTCTTCCTCAGGGTCCAAGAGACTTTCTTCCTGGTCCAATTCTGCCTGGCCACCAACTCTGGCACCTGGGCCATCTACATCTGGCATTGTACTCCTGCAAAGGAAGTTAACACAGTCTACTGGTAAGGAAATACAAGCATAAATTCATTCATTCATGCTCTTCACACCAGGGTTTGTTCACCCATCTAGAGAAGTACATATACTACACAGCCTTCAGAGTCCAATCAACCTAGGATATGCAGTCATAGCTCTGTTGCTTCCTCTGAATCTCAGTTTCCTCATGTGTAAAATAGGGAGAATCATCAACACCTATCTCATGGATTTTTGGCAGAGTAAAATGAAACATCATATTTAAAGGGCTTAGTACAGTGCTGGGCACCTCTTAAGCCCTCAGCAAATGGAATTAATTATGTGTCATAGTTGTAAGTTTCTGTAAAGTAGGAATTTGATGTGCTGTTGTTTTGGAACTGACTCACAGGTTTTTAGAGGCTATAAATCCCACATGAGTTTGCTCATCTTTCTGCCATAGAACAACTGGTGGATTTGAACAGCCTGCCTTTGGGTTGTCAGGGCAGCTCCAGGACTCCTTTATTATATAAGAATGCATTGATAGTATTGCTTATAGTTGTAATGCCTTTGTAGTTCTTGCAAAGTACTCCTGCAGAGTAGGAGGAGTTTAGTAAACTTCAATTGAACTAGTATAGTCATTCATCCATCAAAATGTAAAGCTCCATCAATGGCAGGGATTTTTGTCTGTCTTACTTCCCTCCTCTCTTAGAGAAATTCTGGCACTTAAACCCAAACTCATTGCCATCAAGTCAGTTCAAGTCATAGTGACCCCTTACTGGGTTTCCCAAGCCATAAATCTTTATAGAAGGAGATTGATCATACTAAGTAGTTAGTATTTTTGTGGATTAGCTGACTAGATGAATGAATGTCCCCATATCTCTGTTTGAGGTCAAATTTCAGCACAGAAAGTCAGGTCTGTAGAGAACATATTGTATGAAGCATCTTAAAGCTGCTCAAACCACATCTCATGTTTTGCTAGCTTTATAAACTGTGCTCCTTCTTTTGCATAAAAACCAAAAATTAGGGGGAAATCTCTGTTACCATTGAGCTGATTTTGGTTCACAGAGATTCCATGGTTATAAAGCAGAGCTGCTCCACAGGTCGGTGGTTTGCAATTGACTGCTAACCTAATGTGGCAGAGGTTATGAGGATGCACAGGATAGGGTAAGTTTCCAATCTGTTGTCCACAGAGTCACTATGACTCATAGTGACTCACAGCAATAGGTAACGTAAGAGAGCTCTGGTGATGCAGCCCACAGAGAGGGGCGCTGCTAACACAAAGGCTGAACTGCCCTGGCGGTTCATTTACCAGCTGCTTGGAGGGAGAAAGATAGGTAGTCTCATCCCATGTCATTGACAGCCTTGGAGACCCAGTAAAAGGTCAGCTGAGTCAGAACCCATCCAATGGCAATGAGTGAGTCAGTGAGTATGACTAATCCAAAGGTTAGAAGTTCAAACCCACCCAGTAGTACCACAGAAGGAAGATGTATTAAGAAAGTGTCTGATGGTGCCACTGTTGTAGAATGAGGCTGGCATTGGGGTGGGGGTAAGACTGAGAAAACTGGATGAAATATGTTTACAGCATTGAAGTCTATGGGGGAGAGAATAGTCTAAAAGTATTATATTTTAGGGCATTATTTTTATCGTAGGAATATGCAATGAGGGTTGCAGAGTGGATTATATTTGGGGGTAGGGGGTGGGGTTTGGGGAGGTGCGGGGGGGATTGTGTACCAATGAGGGAGTTTTTCTTTTGCTTTTCAAGGAGAGGAGCAAATAGGGGGTGGTGGTGGAGGAGGGAGGGGTTTGTGCGGGGAGAAGGGTGCAACAATGAATGAATGGAATTCCAAAATCTCTGTAGATGTTCATTGAAATGAAAAATAAACAACCTAAATAAAAAAAAAAAAGAAAGAAAGTGTCTGTTAAGATTACAGCTCTCTCCTGTAAGCCCTTCCTATTGGGGGGTGGAGCAGGGGGCACCTGGAACCATCTCAACACAAAGGAACAGATCTTGTACCTCTCCCTGATAGTTATGAAAGTTCCCGAGGGCCTTAAGGCCTAGGGGAGAGTGAAGAATGAGAGACAAAAATTCCTGCCCTCATGAGAATTTGGCAAGTTCTGGTGGCAAAGTCTATTGGAAATTGTGATATTAAGCCAAAAGCCATACCTTTCTGCCAATTCTAACCCACCAGAGGCTCTGCAGGAAAAAGATGGGCAATCTCCTTTTGAAAACCCTCAGAAAACCCACTGAAGAGTCAGCTAAGAGTTGGTTCTGACATGATGGCAATGAGCTTTGAGTCACTAGGACTCACATACAAATGGATGAATGGATGGATGGATGGATGGATGGATGGATGGATGGATGGATGGATGACTATACTGGTTCCTTACTATTTCTGTGACTGTGAAGGAACCAACAGAGAGGTGGCTGTTGTTATGCACCATTGGGTTGGAACCAACTCATAGCTGACCAGCCAGCAGCTTTTCAGAGGCAGTTAACTGCACAGGAAGAGACTGTCCATCTTTCTCCAATGGAGCAGCTGGTGGATTTGAACTGCATGTCTTTGGGTTGGTAGCACAACTCTTTACCATCAGAGCAGGGAGGTAGTAAGTAAGAATAACTATTACTAACACTGATTGAAGGGAGTTCTGTAGCCTAGTTTTAAGAACTGTCCTGCAGTCCCCAAGACGTGGTTCAAATTCACTAGCTGCTCTGTGGGAGGAAGATGGGAAATCTCTTTCTGTGCAATTAACTGCCTTTGAAAACATGCTGGAGGGTCAGGGCTGGGTCGGTTCCAACTCGATGATACACAACAACAATGTTGACTGAAGAGCCCTTGTAGTACTACAGTTAAGTGCTTGGCTGCTAGCCAAAAGGTGGGCAGTTCTCATCTTCTAGTTTCACAGGAAAAAGACTTTCAACCTCAAAAAGCCAGTAAAGCAGTTCTACTTTGTTATATGGGGTCACTGTGAGTTGAAATGGATTTGGTGGCACCCAATACAACAATGTTGATTGAGTAATTGCTCTGAATCAGGCCCTTTGCTTCACAGGGTATGTGCATCTTTTCCTTCTTTATACCTGTAAGGGGTTCTTTTGTTTTCATTCCCATCTTATAAATGAGGAAACTGAGGCTTAACACAATTATACAACTTGCTCAAAGTCCCCATGATTAAGTGATAGAGCAAAAATTTAAATCCAAGCCATGTGACCCTGAATATACAAACACACTGCTACACTGTACTGCCACCGTCTTTGGTAAAATACTAGTCACAGAAGTACTGAACCACGGAGTCCTGTGTCCTGAGGGCCAGTCCCAGCTCTGTCACCTCTCTTGGTATGACCTTGAGTTTAACGTTATGGAGAAATGACTTCGTGTTACTGAACATCTCATCTGTGACAGACACTGGACTATGGGTTTAGAATAATTAAAAGGAAATATTGGGGCCTCTATTTTACAGATGAGGAAATTGAGCCCTTAAGATAGTATCAGACTTGCTCAAGTAGGGTTGGATCAAACTACTTAGAACCTCAGTCTCCCCATGTGTAATAAGAAGTTAGATTTGAGTTCCTCTTGAGTTCTCAATTCTAGGGCTACTCAAAGGGACACAAGAATTCACCCACAACCTAAGGAGAGGGCCTTGATATTGTGCTGTCATTATGTTTTAGGGTCAAGAGAAAGAATGCCAGAAGCCATAGATTTTAAAGCTGATAGTCCAGAGCCTCAGGGATGAAGTAATTTTTTTAGTGACTCTGGGTCCTATAAATACCATAAATACAGTCTAGGGAACGGAGCTGGCTGGGAGGGGGGATGGGAGCTGGCTGGTGCTCTCTCCCAGGTGAGCGGTGTCTCAAGCCGGGCTATGCTGCCCACTTCCTCCAGTCACAGAGCAGGTCACAGGGGTGACAGCCATGCTGGTGGGGAACTCCAGAAATGCGTGGTTACGTGCTGCTTACCTGCCGCCTCCGGGCCTGGCCGAGTACTTATTTCCCCGGTGGTTTGGTTTGGGCTGGAATTGGCCCTGATGCAGCAAGGACAGCAGCTGGGAAATTTGCTACAAGACAGGAAAAATCTGTTGACTCCACACAATTCCGACCCAGCACACTTCCTCGCCGGATGTTTCCCTCAATGCCGGTGCTTTCTTTTTATAGTTTTTCCTCCGGCTTCAGATGTTTGTGTGATCTGGTGGGGGATGATGCCAGCCTGGTGTCTCAGACCTGTGCAGGCAGGTCCCCTGCTTTGCATGTTGCCCCAGGACTTGAGTACTTGATGGGGAGAGACATTCGGGCCTATCCTGCCGCCCCCTCACTCCCCAGAGTGACTTGTTCCTGGTGGCTTCTCTGGGATGGGGCGAAGAAGGCATTCCCTGACCATAAATTTATATTACTTGATAAAGATTATCTTAAACAAATAGCTACCACCCCTCCCCAGAAGCGGTCAAGCATTCAGCAGATTTTTGTGGGTCAGATGTGTGACTATGTTATGGAAAAGATAAAACGGTGTTATTTAACCCTTCATTTACCCATCCTTTTATTCATTCAGCAAGTATTTAATAAGGAAGTATTTGTGTCAGGCATGGTGCTTGGTACAGGATTAAAAAAAAGACAACAAGATCTAACAATTGCCCTCAGGGAGCACACAGTCAGTATCTGAGAGAAGATGGGAGAGGTGGTTGCCATGGGACCACACTGGTGCTTGAGAAAGGATGAGGTCCAAGAAAGGAACAGAGGAGGGCCTCTAACCTGATTTGAAAGGAAGACAAGAGAGGGACACTGGGAAGGTATTCTTTCATTCTAACAAACATTTAGTAAGCTCATATTATGTGTTAAGCATCTCTGCTGAGACCCAGAATTTCCACAGGAGTTCAGTGAGAGGGGAGTTGGTATGGGGCCTGGGGAGGGGTGAAGGCTGAGTTTCAAGCAAGAGGCACCGCAACCAGAAAGGCCAGAAGAGACAGTGAGATGGTGGAATATGGGGGAAGCAGGAGAAAGGGGTTGACCAGATGTCCTGGCCATGTCCTGCTGAGCCGTGTGAGTGAGAAGGCAACATGCTAGTAAGCCAAGTTCTAGTTTAGGCAGTTTCTGCTCTGTTGTGTGATGCCAGACAGTTTTGAAACTCCTCAGACCTCAGTTCCCTGTCTCTAAAATGGGGCTTAACATCCCTGCCCAGACTTCACAGTGTTGTGAGGATTGATTAGATGGTTTTAAAAAGTTAAGAAAGCTCTGCAAATACAAGGGGTTTGGATTGTTACTCTACCTGCTGGGTTACCTCATTCTCCCTAGGGACCCACTCTTGGCCATGGGAGGTGGGAAATGCCAGCCTCAGAAGAGAGTTAGAAGAAGGGGTGGCCAGGACAGTGTCTTGGGAGCATCACAGTGTTATAACTTGGCTCAGGACAGACTCCCACCCCTGATTTCTGGTTTCAGTCCAGAGCCTCCGCACTACCCCGCCCCTCCCCCTGCCCCTCCCCCCCCCCCCCCGCCAAGGCATCTATTAGCCTCTGCCTGAATGACCCCTGAAATTTCAGGGAAACTTGTGTGCACCTGGCCCTATGGTGGGCACTGCAATGCAAGCTCCCTTAACAGACTCTGGAGTCAATCAGGCTCAGCTTTAAAATATAAGCCCTGCTGCTCTGCAGTTCCCTCTGTGTGACCTTGAGGAATTACCTGAGCATTCTAAGCCTTAGTATTCTTAGTCTTGGAAAAAAAAGGGGGGGGGGGTGAGAATAATATGAAATCCAGGTCATGTGGTGGTTTACTTTATTCCTTCACTTATTGCGGTGGAGTCAGAACTGACTCAGCTGATCCTCCAGGGGATTTTCAGAGGCTGTAAAAATCGCATGGGAGGAGATTGCCCATCTTTCTCCCACAGAGTAGCTGATGGATTTGAACCACCTGCCTTTGGGCTTGCAGTGCAGCTTCTTATCCACTAGGCCAAAACCAAAAGAGCTCCATGTGGTGGTTATGAGGATGAAATGAGCCAAAGTATATAAACTTTATCTATATATCACATAATATACACTTAATACTTGTCAGGTAGTACACTATCTCATTTGATCCTCAAAATAACTCTAGAGAAGATACTTTTACACCTTTTTTTCCAGATGTAGCAACTAGTAGCACAACTGGAATTAAACCTAGGGTCCTAAGTCCACTGTTGTGTTGGGCAGCATACCAGAGACATATGCAGTGTACAAACTGCTTCTCTTACCCTTATGTTACTTCCAAATGGGTACTTCTCATCTCCCCAGTTGGATTACTTACTGCCCCCTCTCTGTTTTCACTATTCACTAACAACCAGTAGTGTTTGGCCTGAAGAGTTCATCTGATAGGAATTCACTAAATGAGTGAATGGATGAATGAATGAATGGCTCTTGGCAGCCTCTGGAGCTGCACGGGGTCCCGGGCAACACTCCTGTGAGAACAGCTGGGCCCACTCCAGGTGGCTTCCTGGGGAGGGAATGGGAAGGAAGCCGTGGCCTTGCTCTGTGGAAGCCTACACTGACAGCCTGACCAAACAGAAGTGTGCCTTGGGCGAGTCAACTGACACAGTGAGATCTAAGCAGGGGTTCAGAGAAGTGGATATGGGTGTGAGACAGGCACCACCCCTGAAAAAAGATTTCCTTATATCTAGGAAATCCTGGGTCATTAGACATCTTGCTACCCATCACATCATTTAATCCTCACACTGCTTTGGAGGTAGGTAGACACAGAGGAAATCTGATGCTATAGATAAAGAAAATGAATCTCCCATATTAAAGACTCATCTGAACCTGGGCTCTTGAGTGACAGTTAAAATTTGAACCCAGATCTGTCTGACTCTGAAGGTTTCCACTCTACCCAGTCTGTGAGCCATAGAACTCAGGTGACTCAAGGGCAGCCTCTGAGCTAAGGCAATTCTAGGTTCATGCTGCCTACTGCATCGGGAGGTTGCCAAGGTGAGAGGGGGACAATGGATATAAAGAAGTAATAGTAATAATTTGCTGAGCACTTTCCCCCTGCCAGACACTGTTCTAGGGGCATTAATTTCATTAATTAATTTTCACAGTAAACTTAGGATCTGGGTACTGTTAAGCTCAATATCCTCAAAAGAGAAGTTGAGTAACTTCCCTGCAGTTCACAGCTTGGAAGCATTAGAGCTGTGATTTGAACCTATGCAGCCTTGCACCAGAGCCTGTGAAGCTAATCAGTACCTTTGTTTGTGTCTGCTTGTGCCAGGCACCATAACTAAATGCTTTATAGGGGTTAACTTACCAAATCCTCAGGACAACTCTACCTACTCTTCCCATCACCCCTATTTTATAAATACAGAGGCTGAAGTCTGAGATCACAGGTGATGCACCCAGGATCACACAGATGGTAGTTCTGTTGACGCCAGAGCTATGCCCTGAACTACTGCTACACCACGCACCGCTCTGCATTAAAAGCATGGATGTAAGGAACTCGAGGTTGAGGGGTGTCTGCTGCCACAAATGGTAGTCTAGAAGTGCCTAGGAGGGGACTACCCACACCTGAGATACCTGAACAGGTGGAGAATCCACGGCCAGCTCTTCCACAGGGTTCCGCTCTGCGAAGGCAGCCACAGACAGCCGGACAAGGCTCCGCAGGATCTGACGGGGCCCCGACTCTTTCTCAGGGTCCACTTTGCCATTGAGATTCCGCTTCCTCCTCAGGGTTGCGGACGAGGCTGCTGGGCTCACCGGGGCCTCACTGATGCCCTGGTCTCTGGGCAGTCTCCCTATAGGACTGTCCGCAGCCTTCACAGGCCTTGAGTGTAGCTGGCCTATTGTGGGCTGGGACTCAGGAAGGTTCAGGTTCTCCCGAGAGGCATTCCTCTGCCTGGGATGGTTGAAAAGGAGGTTGACTGTGTCCTGCAGCACTTCCTGGCTCTCAGTCAGAGCTCCCAGGCTGCCTTGGTTCCGAAGAGTCCTGTACAAGGTCGGCGTGAGGTGGAATGGGGCCTGCATGCAGGGGTCCCAGTCTTTGCTCATATTTGTTTCCTTACCTGTATCCTTGTGTGGCTGTCCAACTTCCTCAAGTTCATCTACTTGGGCCCTGAGCACAGGCACAATGTGGATGTCTGCCTTCTGAATGTGCTTCTGGGGCCTCTTGGGCTGGTGGCGGTAGGTGGATTCAGCTTCCCGACAGTTGTAGGCCCGGTTGTCTTTCTTCTCTGTCCGGCAGAAGGACATGATAAAAGCCAAGATGAATCCAAAGATGGCCAAGAGTACAACCAGGCAAACCACTGTCAGCACTGACGTACTCAAAGCCCCGGGCTCACGGCCCGAGTCCCTCAGGTAGTCCACACTGGAGATGAACGTGACCCTCAGCTGGGCTTGGGTTTGCAAGGAGGGGCTGCCACGGTCTTCTACCACTATGTCCAGCTCCCACTCGCTCCCAATGAGACTGCTGGCATTGGTGACATTGATGAACAGCTGCCCCAGGTCGGGACTGAGGACAAAGAGAGAAGCTTTGTTACCCCTCCGAATGCTGTAGAGGAGCTCTCCATTTGCCCCCGAGTCGGCGTCTCTTGCCACAATAGTTGCCAAAAGGAATGGTGGGGGGTTTTGGAGAACTGGTGTTGGTGTAGCAGCATGTGTTGGACCCAAGCCATTGGGAGTCTCGATGGGCACCAGAACGTGGCCTGTAGAGGCATTTACAAGTACTGAGAGGCTGGCCCTTCCATTGCTCAGCACAGGCTGAACCACTTCCGGGGCATTATCATTGACATCCAGGAGGTGGACCCACATAGAGACACTGGATGCAAGCTGAGGCTGGCCCCTATCTTCTGCGATCACCCAGACCTCAAAGCTGGCCATCTGTTCATAGTCCAATGTCCTCTGAGCAGTGACCTCTCCTGTGTTTATGTCAATTGCTACCAAGTGAGAAACTGTGGAGTCCTGGATGCGGTAGGAGATCTGTCCATTGACACCCAAGTCTATGTCATGAGCCTTGATGGTGATGAGGTGAAGAAAGGGTAGATTGTTTTCCCAAATGGACACCTCATACCTGCTCCTCTCAAACACAGGTGCGTTGTCATTGGCATCACTGATCTGAATGCTCAGCTGTTCCTCGGTTAATAGGGGCTGGGGCCCTTGATCTTGGGCCAGCAGAGTGAGGGTATATTTGGGCCACTTTTCTCTGTCCAGTGTGGCATTGGTTAGTAACATATAAGTGTTGCCGTTGGTCTTTTTCAGCCTGAAGTGGCCCAGCTTTTGGCTGAGCCAACAGTGGACCAGGCCGTTGTTTCCTGAGTCCGAGTCTTTTGCCATGATGAGGGCAATGAAACTATCCTTGGGAAGAGCTTCTGACACCAGTGGTGACTGGGAGGCCCATGTGACATGGATGCTTGGAGCATTGTCATTGACATCTAGAATCTTGATGAGGACTTTGCAGTGGGCTGGGATGGGATTGGGCCCTAGGTCTCTCGCCTGGACATCCACCTCATAGGCAGGATTCTTTTCATAGTCAAGAGGTCCATGCAGACGGACTTGGCCTGTCTTAGCATCAATACTGAAAGTTTCTAGGACCTCTGGAGGCATGTGCTTGCTGAGGAAAAACTCCACCTCTCCATTGGGACCTTGGTCAGGGTCTGTGGCAGTCAAGTTTATGAGGGGAGTCCCAGGGGCAGCATCTTCTTGGATTTCTAGTGCCAGAGAGCTCTCAGAAAACACAGGGCTATTGTCATTGGAGTCCAGGACGTTGACCTTGACCAAGCTGGTGCCTGACTTGGGGGGATCCCCATTGTCAAAGGCCGTTAACACCAGATCAAAAAATGAATGGACTTCCCGGTCCAACTCCTTCACCACCACAAGTTCTGCATATTTGGTCTCATCAGGCCCCACGATGACCTCCAGGGTGAAGTGCTCACTGGGAGACAGGCTGTATGTGTGCAGTGTGTTGGGGCCGGTGTCTGGGTCAACAGCCCTGTCCAGAGGAATCCGGGTGTGTAGAGAGGCACTCTCAGAGATTTCTAGCTCCTGCTTGCCTTTGGGAAACTGAGGCTGGTGGTCATTGATGTCTAGCACCTGGATCTCAACGTGGATCAGAGCAAAATACCCTCCAGCAAGCACGTCGAAGGAAATCAGACAGGGGTCCTGCTGCCGGCAGAGCTGCTCTCTGTCCAGCCGCCTCCCTGTGCTAAGCAAGCCGTCCTCAGAGCCCACCTGGATGGGGAGCCCTTGAGACAGCTGCAAGACCTGGAAGGCAGTCCTCATTAGCCCATCCCTCTCCTCCCAGCCCAGATCCTGGGGCAGCTTCCCTATCACCGTACCGGATGGTACTTCCTCTGACACTTGGTATTTTACAGTGACAACGCTCACCTCCTGGCAATCCCCTGAAAGGAACAAGTAGCCACCTGGCCCCAAAAGCCCCAGAAGAAGCTGCAGAAGTTGCATCATGCTTACCACCAGAGAAGGCTAGATTCACAAACCACTAGCGTCCTTTAAAGGTTGGTCAAGTCCTCTGGAGTTTCCTGGATGGCTGGGTTAGTTCTGTTCTCCTGCCCCCATGCCCACTACTATGTCCTCATCCCATAGTTAGATAATGATGAAACAAGTAGGATTCTCAGGCCAAGCCATCTTTATCTGACGAGATCTGCAAAGTCCAAGCACCGCTGAAGTGAAATATATCCAGGGGAAGCCCCGTCCCGGGCACTACTCAGTCTGCCTCAGCAAGTGATGGACAAGAGCTGGCCCAAGGAAGACTTGACCCAGCAGAGCAGGATGTGGAGCTCTGACTTCCAAACAGTTGCTAGGCTGAGGAAACAGAGAAGCAGCTTTTTCCTATGGAAACCCCACCTACAGGAAAAGGGAGGGCTGGGAGTTTCAACACTAATTAGAGAAAGAGCACTTCCTGTGAAGCTGAGTGGCCTGCCACCGGGAAAGATGTGGCTGACTTCAGGGTCAGGGTGGATGGGAAGATGCTGTCCTCACAGCCACTGGGGGGGAATGGAAGGAATCCTTGCCTCAAAATGTGACCAGAGAACCTGAGCCCTTCTGGGCAATTCCCCTCTCTCTTCTCTTCTTCCTCTCTCTCCATTCCTGTCTTCTGTTACCTCCACATCTGTCTACCTTTTGTTCTTGACTAAGACCTGCCCACTCATTTCTATCGTCCTTGAAGAACAGTTTTTAGAGTTTATACAAACTTACTAAATGCATCTCTGGGACAAGCCGCTTGACCTCTCTGGCCCTCCTTCACATCATCTGTAGGATGAGAAGGAGAATCATCATAACAGTAGCCCTTAGCAGGAAAAGGATTAAATGGGGTGAGGCATGAAGGCCTTTGGCCTGGGTATTGTTCATACTGAGTGCTGAATTCTGCATGACTTGTCCCCTGGACAGTGTCAGATTACCCAATAAGCAACGCAAGCATGCATTTACATGTATTTATTTACTAACAGGTAGTGACCAATTTCAGATTTTTTCATTACTTCAAAAGTATGGTCAACACCTGCCTCTCTCCCAGCCACATAGCACCTTGCTACAAAATCAAAGCTTCTTTGCAAATATATGATTCCTGACAGGGTCAGAGTACCCTGAAGCAAGTGTGGACTTGTATATGCTTATATCTGTAGTGGATATTTTTAAGTCTTTGGATGCAGTGAAACCCATATGAAATTGTTCATTATAGATTAGTGAGTAAGCACAGTTGAGTTTGTGCTTGTTTGCCTCGCTTGTTGGGTAATCTACCCCTGCTATAAAGCAGGGCTGCCCACCCTGACCCATGAGAGTGCCCATCACCCTGGCTCAGGAAGTCTCACTGATCTCTGTGACCCACCATGCAGGTCCCCTCCCCCTTCCCTTCCTGCTTCCCCCAGCCTCACAGCCCATTGTTCTCTGCTTCTGGTCTAGCCTGAGCCCCTGCCTGGGGAACCCCCAGCCTCCTGCTCCCCAGTCTCAGCAAATTTTATAATTTTCTTTCTCCCACACTTCCCTCTCCCTTTTGTTATGTCTCTCCTTCCCTTCCTCCAATTCTTTCCTTCCCAATTCTGTTTAGGATAGAATCTCTTGACCTAAAACTCTCTTGTTTCCCTAGTCCACAATTGCCTACATGTTTTGAGCTCCCCCCCCCATTCATCTTCACAGAGGTGAGGTTCAAAGTGAGGTGGGTGAGGGAGTGGCCTTTCAACTGGCCAGGTTGCTTCTCACATTTCTCCTCTGTCTCCTGTCTGTCACCCCTCACATTCCCCAGCCTTTAGCCACACCTGGAGGTTGATTCCAGGTCTGTATTGTGAACGGCCAGCTCCCCCCAAATGGCTATTTATATCTAAACCCTTAAGGATAGAGACACCCTATTTGGATCCAAATAACCCCAATCAGGGACATAGGAAAAATCCCTGGTGTATACCCTTCCCAATTTTGAAGCATGCAATGTTTCCTTGCTCTATTCTGATGACTGCTTTCTGGTCCCAGTATAGGTTTCACATAGGCACAATCAAGTGTTCTGGGATTCTCATTCTTCTCAGAATTAGCTACATTTTGTTTTGATCCACACAGTCAAATGCCTTTGCTTAGTCAATGAAACACAGATAGACATTCCTCTGGTACTCCCTGCTTTCAACCAAGATCCACCTAACATTAGCTATAATATCCCTGCTACCATGACCCCTGCTAAACCCAGCCTGCACTTCAGGCTGTTCTCTGTTGATGTGCTGTTCCAGTCATTTTTTGATAATCTTCAGTAGAATTTTGCTTGCATGTGATATTAATGATATTGCTCAATAATTTCCACACTTTGTCAGGTCACCTTTCTTTGGAATGGGAATAAATATAGATCTCTTCCAGTGAGTTGGCCAAGTGGTTGTTCTATCTCCATAACTTTTCAATCTTTTTGCAAAATAGATTATCTGGAAGGAAAAATTTGGCCTCAAGATTGGAGGAAGGCTCATCAACAATCTGCGTTATGCAGATGACACAACTCTGCTTGCTGAAATTGAGGAGGACCTGAAGCGCTTGCTACAGAGGGTCAAGGACTGCAGCTTTCAATATGTATTGAAGCTCAACATCAAGAAAACAAAGATTCTCACGACTGGGCCAATTGGCAGCATCAGTATGGATGGTGAAGAGATTGAGATGTTAACAACTTCAGTTTGTTTGGCTCCACAATCAAGACTCTTGGTACCAGCAGCCAGGAAATTAAAAGACAAATTGCATTGGGAAAGTCTGCTGTCAGAGACCTCTCCAAAATACTGAAGAACAACAATGTCATTCTGGAGACTAAGGTGTGCCTGATACAGGCCATCGTCTTTGCAATTACTTGCTATGCATCAGAAATCTGGACAATGACTAGGGATGATAGGAGAATTGATGCATTTGAACTATGGTCCTGGAGAAGAGTATTGAATATAACATGGACTGCTAGGGGAACAAACAGGTTCGTCCTGGAAAGGGTGAGACCAGGCTGCTCCTTGGAGGCAAGGATTCTGAAGCTTTGTCTAACATACTTTGGACGTGATTATAGGAGGGACTAGTCCTTGGAGAGGGAACGTCATGTTTGGGAGGGTGCAGGGACAGTGTAAGTGAGGAAGACCCTCGAGATGAGTTGATTCAGTGACTGGAGTATTGGGGGAGTTGTGTCAGAGAATAAGATTGGCACAGGACAGAGAAGGGTCTAGGGCTGTTGTTCATAGGGTCACTATGAGTCACAGGCAACTTGACGACACATAACAACAACCCCAGCAGTGTTTGTGGGCACGGAGGCCTGTGGCCACCAGGACCTAGGTGGCAGAGGGACTGTCCTGAGCCCAAGGACCATGTGGGTCAGCATGGCAGAACTTTCATCTTTTTCTCTTTTGTACAGCCCTGTCTCTTCATTCAACATTTTTCAGGTTTCCCAACAATTTCACTAATGCCCACAAGCCATTCTCCTGGGTAGTTCTGGAGACACAAGCTCTGAGATAGTCTACAAATCACAGAACCTTTCTGAGCCTCAGTTTCCTTCTCCATAGACCAGGGCTAATATTTCCTGCCTAATGTGTTTATAGTAAGGCATCAGTAGGATGATGATGACCAAATGGGCTGGACCCTGCACCTGGCACAGAGAACCACTCAAAACTCGGGCTGTTATTTTACTGTTCTTCGTTTTGTAGAATTTATTCCTGGTAAGAATGGGCTTGCTTTGTCCCTCGCCTCTTTCTTTGCCTCTCTTTGGAAGCTCATTCCCAGGCCTCTCTCAGCTGAGCTGGGCCAGATTGTCTGTGCTCTGACCACAGTCAGGTCACATGATAGCCTCTTTCAGCCTATTCTTTTCCAGGCAGCAAACAAGACAGACAGACAGACACTTCCTGCTTCCCTCTATGATCCTATTTCCCTCCCACCCACCCAGGGAGGGGGCTTTCAACCTAATGAGGAGACAGAGATCAGGTGGGAAAAATCAAGCTGGTGACCCAGAGGAGTGGCTCTGGATTTAGGCCTGGTGATCAGAGAAGGCTCCTCTGCCTGGAGGGCACACAGCTGCATCTTGAAGGATAGAGGGGAGAGCGCCCAGTGAAGGTGGAGGCAGAGGGAGAGGCAGAGATGCAGAATGGGCAACATCCTGAAGGTGGGTGAGTGCAGGGAGGGAGCGTGACCAGTACAGGATGGAAGGTCTGTGATCCCATGTTAAGGATCTGGGTCTGGGCCTGAAGACCACGAGAAGCTTTTGAAGGCCTCTAAGTAGGATGAACTGCAGCTACATTCTGGGCCTTGGCCTGCATCATCTTGTGCCACCCTCACAAACTTGGCCATCAGGTTGAAGAAGCTAAAATGCATTTAGACAATTTGCCCAAGATCATGCAGATTTGTCCTCCAGAAAGATCCTTTTTGCTGGGCCCTGGAAAATGGATGGGAAGGATCAGAGAAGGAGGAAGGCAGGTTAGGAGTAATTCAGGAAGCCTTGATACCAAAGAAAATTCTAGTGAGCATGCTTCCAGAGTGCCATCTGGTGGCCAAAGGCGAAAAAAAAAAGGCACAGACGCATGCTGGGCAGCAGCCAGCTAGTCTGGAAAGCAGGGCCAAGGGCTCACAAATATTTCCCACTCCAGATCTCTGCTATGCCCAGAACACAATAGAAGCAAGCACACACACAGATGAAACTTTTATCTCCTAATGGGAAAGCTAATGCATACTAGAGCTTGCAGAAGGACTTCTGAAATTTATGATTTTGCTAATGTTAACATTTATATTTCTAAAAGATTATGTAAATTTCCAATAGATATACTAATGTACAGCAATACTAATGTACACAACAACAACAGCAGCAACAATATATTATGTACCACTGAATCAGAATTGACTCACAGCTGACCCTCCAGTGGATTTTCAGGGCAGTAAATCACATGGGAGATTGCCTATCTCATATATATATATATATATATATATATATTGTGTGTGTGTGTGTGTATACACATGTATATTTTATA